AAGACCGTTAGTCTTTGGGCAAGTACAGCTCCTTGAAGAATTGAAGACCATGGAGGCAACATCAGTAGTCAATTAAAAAACAAGACAATATTGAATCCTTATCTTTGACTCTTGTTTATTTGAGAAATCAACTCAGAGTTTGAAGTGATAGAAGAATCAGCTTGTGTGCGTAGTCTGCCCTTACAGACTCAGGAAAGCTTGGTCTTTCCTTATGTGCGTAACAGCATGATATTAATGCTTACTTACTATTTCTCTCCCTGAGATCGCTGTTTGTCCCCAGTTTTCAAAATATCTATCATATAGTGGATTCCAAGTGAATATTTGTCTTTTTTTTTGTCTTAAATATATCTTCCTTGATTCTTACCTCTTCCTTACAAGTAACTCAACAAGTTTTTTGTTTTTTTTTTTTAACGTTTCCCCCCCCTAAATTTGTCCTTTGCTCTCTGTTTTTCTTAGTGGCACTAGGAAATGATTTCAGAAAATAGCTACCACTCAGCTTCCTGTGCTTAATTTTCTGCCTTGTTTTTATTATTTATGTCCTATCTTGGTGTTTTGGTATTAACTGGGATTATAAGATTTATATTTACAATTAATTTTAGTTGTAAAGCTGAGCATACTTTGGTTATGAAGAATGAAAAAATGCATAGCCATTGTATTATATAACTATGTGTTGGAATGCCCTATGCTGCCTCAGTGTGTATGAGAGGCCCCAGAGATTGTTCAGATTTGCAGGAATAGGAATTTGCTGATAAGGGATGAGGAAGGAATTGACTAATCTGGGATTGTCACTAATTATGACATAAAACCCATTAGGAAAGCCATGTGCCAAATTAAGTGGGACTGTTGTTATAGATACTCTTGACTGTCCCAGAGACTCCAGCCAAGACCCAGTCCCACTTTCTCATGTATGGAATTATGGAGATGGGGTAACATCCAGTCATCAGAGATTGATTTGCAAAACATCTAGTATATGCCTTGGTTTCTTTTGTTGGTTTGTTTTAAAGAAAGGACTTCAGTCTTCATTCAGGCTAGTGCGCGGTGGCCCAGTCATAGCTTACTGCAACCTCAAACTGGTGGGCTCAAACAATCCTCCTGCCTCAACCCCCTGAGTAACTGGGACTAAATATATGCACCAATGCATCCAGCTAATATTGGTATTTTTTTTGCAGAGATAGGAGTCTTGGTGTGCTTCTCAGTCTGGTTCTCAAAACTCCTACCAGACTGAGAAACAAAGCAAGAATCTTATTTCTGCAAAAAAATGCATATGCATTGTTTTTTTATCTCAAACTCAAGCAGGCTGGCCATATGCATTTCTTTTTTTTTTAAATCTCAAAGGAGCTAAATGCCTTGGAAGAGTAGGCTATAATAGTATTCCCAAGGAGTGGATCTGCTACATTACTGCTTTACAGTACATAGGCTTCAGTTTTAATACCCTGATATTAGGGTATATAGGAATAAATATTCCTGAGTGTTTGGGAAACTAAATTCTACTGGTTAGACTTTACCATTAAATTTTTGAACCCTTAGTGAAGTGAGCTGGGAAAATGAGAGCCATAGAAACTCTGAGTTTGACTTAACCCATAAAACTAGAGGCACTTAACACTTGGTGTGTAAGTCTATATTAGTGCAAACTAAAGCCAAAGATCTTTTGGATTTCAAATGACTTTTCTGCAGTCTTTCTTAAAATTTTACAGCCTATTTCTGCTCTAAACTTATAACTAGTGCCAAGGATCCTTTCTCAGCCCAAGCTGTTATGCAGCCTGGACATAAAGTTTGTGTGCAGTTTAAAATATTTTAACATAGTAAATTGCACAAACTTTATGTCCACCCTATATAACACATTATCTTGATTTAGACTTTATTATCTCTCATCTAGAATATTACAATATTCTTAATAGTCTTCATACCTCCAGTTTTGTCCTTGTTGAATTTATCTTTATTGCCCAGAGTAGTTTAATTGAAATATAAGTTCAACTCTGTTGTTTTATCTGCCTCAATTTCTTTTCTTTTTTTTTTTCCAACTTTGTTTTTATTTCTTATAGCATAACTGTGTACATTAATGCAATCATGGGGTAAGTGTGCTGTTTTCATATACATTTTGAAATATTCTCATCAAACTAGTTAACATGACCTTCATGTCATTTTCTCAGTTATTGAGTCAAGACATTCATACTCTGCTTTTAGAAAGATTCGCTTGTACCCTTGTAGGATAAACCATAGAGGTGACGCCACCAATCACCCTCTCTCCCCCCATCCACCCCCCTCACCTCCCCTCTCCCACCCCCTTCCCGTATTCTAAAGCTATAATTAGGTTATGACATTCCTATGAAAGCTATGAATTAGTTTCAAAATAGGGCTGTGTACATTGGATACTTTTTCTTCCATTCTTGAGATACTTTGCTAAGAAGAACATTTTCTAATTCCATCCATATAAACATGAAGGAGGTAACGTCTCCATCTTTCTTTAGGGCTGTATAATATTCCATGGTATACATATACCACAATTTATCGATCCATTCCTGGGTCGATGGGCACTTGGGCTTCTTCCATGACCTAGCAATTATGAATTGGGCTGCAATAAATATTCTGATACAAATATCTTTGTGTAGTTCGATTTTTGGTCTTCTGGATATATACCTAGTAAAGGAATTGCGGGATCAAATGGCAGGTCTATTTTTAGTTCTCTCAATGTTCTCCAGATGTCTTTCCAAAAGAAACTAATTAATTTGCATTCCCACCAGCATTGTCTTAATTTCGTTTCATGGCTTCCTGCCCATAGTAGTGATTTTCAAATTGTGCTTCTCAGTTGCCAGCAAAATTCCACTAGACTTTTTAGGGACTGTATTATGGGAGTTCATAAAGTAGGTAAGTCTCTAGCCTTTCCCTGACACCTTTGACACCCTCCAGTCCCCAAGCAGAGCAATTTCTTTGCTCTGTTTTACATATTGCACTACTTTAAACACTTTTTTGTTTGTTTGTTTGCTTCTGAGGCAGAATCTCACTTTGTCACCCTTGGTAGAGTGTCACAGCTCACAGCAACCTCAGACTCCTGGGCTCAAGTGATACTCTTGCCTCAGCCTCCTGAGTAGCTGGGACTATAGGCTCCCATCACAACGCCCAGCTATTTTTAGAGACAAGTCTCACTGTTGCTCAGGCTGGTCTCAAACTCCTGAGCTCAAGCAGTCCACCTGCCTCACCCTCCTAGAGAGCTAGGTTTATAAGCATGAGCCCCTACTTTAATGTGAAGAAGATTTTTGATAAATGGTAATTTGTACTTCTGGCCTACAGGTGAAATTCAAGCTTTTTAACTAATTTAGGGGGCTCTCCAGCCTCTTCTACCAGTCTTGGCTACAAATGTATACTCTAGCAATGCAGAACTTCTCATACATAGTTCGCTGTGCCTTATGTCGCAGGTCTTCCTATAATGTTTACTCTTTCATTCTCTCTGACCTGGCCAACTGCTACTCTTCATTTTAGAGTTGTTTCATGTGTTACCATCTCCAGAAAACCTTTGTAGCCATCTCCTACCCAGACAGGCGTAGTTAGGTATCTTCCTCAGTACTCCAACATTCTATGCTTATTTCCCTTGTTGCATTTTCTCTGAATTATTCTTTTCAGTGTTTGTTTCTGTTTCATTTGCCAGAGTTTGAATTACTTAAGAGTAGTAACTGTGTTGTAAAGTTATCTTTATATGTATCTCTACTGATTACTATATAGCTTGATGTGTGGTAGACGTAATTATTTTTGCAGTGAATTAATTTATTGTCTGTATTTTTCTGGTGCATCTTGCGGTAGATATGTAACTAAAGTTAAATGTGCCTTTGTTATCCCTGTGTGGAAATTTGCTCTCTAGTGCATGTGTTTATTGGTCACAGTGTACACAAACATTTGAGTTTAAATGTGCACTTAAGAAGAAAGACAAGAATGTTAATGCAACTTTCGTTAGGAACTAGAACTTAACTTTAATAGCTGGTCTGTATTTTGTGCAACTCTGAAATGTGAAGCTTTTTCCATGTAATCTCATGCCAGTGTTGACCCATGTGGATTAAAATAGCCCTGTTTTAATCTATGACCAAATTAGGAATTAGAATATCTATCCAGTGGGAATTTTTAAATTATTGTAGTTTGTGGCTTGACAGGTTTATATAAATAATTGTAGTGATTTTTCACTGTGCGTTTTTAAATCCAGGCTCAAATTGAGAAATGAAATGATGAAAATATTAAGATTACCAATTGGAAAATTTATTGTGATTCCTTAACATATTTGTCTTTACTATCTTAAAGTAGTTAAATCTTTTTTAAAGGATCATGAAAACTGACCTAAAATAAAGAAAATTTTATTCTGTTAATCTAAAATATCTACCATGTGGAACAAATTAGCTAATTACAGTTTTTGTTTGTAGTGTGACATTTGTTTTAAAGGCTTTCTGTTAAGTCAAATTTTTAATAAAAGCTTTTATTAGCTAGAGTGAAGTCCTTCTAGAATTTATTTTTTAAAAAATTTCAGCATAGGCTCTGCGCCTGTAGCTCAGTGGTTATGGTGCCAGCCATATATACTGGGGCTGGCAGGTTCGAGCCTGGTTTGGGCCTGCTAAACGACGACAACTGCAACAAAAAATAGCGGGGCACTGTGGCGACGGCTGTAGTCCCAGCTACTTGGGAGACTGAGACAAGAGAATCACTTAAGCCCAAGAGTTTGAGGTTGCTATGAGCTGTGACACTACGGCGCTATGAGCTGTGACGCTACGGCACTCTGAGGGCGACATAGTGAAACACTGTCTCAAAAAAAAAAAAAATAAATAAATAAAATAAAATAAATATCTCAGCACATTGTACTTTTCTCTATTTTATGACTTCAGGTTCAACTATGTAGCAAATAATCCTTCATGAAGTTTTTTTGTTTTATAATTGTATTTCTCAAGAACTTGAATGTAAAGTAAATAATCTTAGTTATAATGCTTTTTAGTGATTTAAAATTATAAACTTTTCTTTTTACACAGATAAAGATACAATAAATAAAATTAGAGATTTACGAATGAAAGCTGAAGATTATGAAGTAGTCAAGGTGATTGGTAGAGGTGCATTTGGAGAAGTTCAATTGGTAAGTTATTTTAATGAGATTTTAAAAGAAAAATTTTATTAAATCTTTAAAAATCCACTTGTGTCTTTTACTTATTATTTGGGAAAGCATTGTTTTTATAGAATTCTTACTTTACATTGCTCTAGACATTCTTGTCTAAGTGTATGAAAGCCTAAGGTCAAATCCAGCAATAGTAGGAAGAGTTTTCCTCAGTCATTCATGGGTAGAACAGAGGTCTCAAGCATTAGAAAAGAAATCTTTGCTCCTAATATTAGGCTATGTAAAATGCTATACCACAGCACAAGCATAAGTAGGCTTTTTAAAGAGGAAACAGCATATACTGCGGGGGATAGGGGAAGTATGCTATGATATAGGGAATAAAATAATTACTTATTTCTAGTAATTGAGATTAGCTAATTGGAACAATTAGAAGAGAAGAAACAAAAATAGCTAAAACAATAATGTTAAATTATTTAATAAGTATTAGAATCATTTAATAAATTGTTCTATGAAACAATGAGCTGTAAGTGTTCACAAAAGGTTCATTTTTTTCAATTTTCAAGGTAAGGCATAAATCTACCAGGAAGGTATATGCTATGAAGCTTCTTAGCAAATTTGAAATGATTAAGAGATCTGATTCTGCTTTTTTCTGGGAAGAAAGAGACATCATGGCTTTTGCTAACAGTCCCTGGGTTGTTCAGGTATGATTTTGCTACAATTTCATTATTGCTTTATTACCTTATAACTAAGTATATCTAAAAAGCTGTAATAGGTATTTTAAAACAGTAAAAATGAATGCATTGGCAGTTACAGAATTACCTAATATATCATTTTTTAAGTCATAAAATTTAATTTTATTGATTCAGGTCTAGAATGAAAGACCAAAGAAAATAATTGTTTCTGTAGAATTTAAATATAGAAAATGTAATTTAAATGTAGAATTTAAGTATAGAATTTTAAATTTTTGGCTCGGCGCCTGTGGCTCAAGTGGCTAAGGTGCCAGCCACATACACTGAAGGTGGTGGGTTCGAATCCAGCCTGGGCCCACCAAACAACAATGATGGCTGCAACCAAAAAAATAGCC